TGCTGGGAGCGAGGCTAAGGGGAAGGCTGCAAAGGATGCTGGGAATGAAGCCAAGGCAGCAGGGGTTTCTGGGAGCAAGGCTGAGATTGCAGAGGATGCTGGCAAGGAGCCCGCAGCAGGGCAGGCTGCTGAGCACGAGGCTGAAGGGCAGGCCAGAGGCAGTGCAGTGCCACAGGAGGAGGCCGAGCCTGGGCCCAGGCCGGAGGCAGCGGGCAGCACCCGAGGCCGGCAGGTGAGAGGGGGCACGACTGGGGTGACACTGCCAGGGGCTGGGTACTGGGTGGCACTGGTGGGGTGGGGGTGGCACCGCTGTGGGTTGAGTGGCACAGTTGGGGCTGGGGGTGGCACAGGGTATGGGTGGGTTGGAGTGTAAAGTGACGGCAGCGGGATGGATGGCAGCAGTGAGATGATGGTACAGCTGTGCAGCCACCATGCCTGTGTCCACAGGAGCCCACCTGGCTGCAGGATGAGGATGATGAGCTGTGGCCTGAGTTCCCCCCCTGCTCACCCACGGAGGGGGCCGCCAGCCCCACCACCCCACTCTCCCCTACCTCCCCTGTGTCTCCCACGTTCCCCGTATCTCCCACATCCCCTTCGCCTCCTGTGTCCCCCACATCTCCCACAGGTAAGGGCTACAGTTGGCACAGGAATCCCCTTCCAGGGCAGGGGAGGCAGGAAGGGGAATGGGATGAGGAATGGGGGGCGCGGTGGGCCCTCTCCCAGAGTCCCCTTACAGATCCCCATATACTCTGTAGAGCCCCTCTGTTCTCCGTCCCATTTGCCCCATTTGGGACTCCCTGCAGTGCCCCCAGGCACTATGGCTGCCCCAGGGAGGTAGTTTTATTTTGGATGCCCCCTTTCATCCTACTGACTCCTCTGTTCTCCCCTGCAGCTGGTAGCACTGAGGGCTCAGGAGGTAGTGAGAGGTGAGAACAGAAGAGCAACCAGCACCGGGGCTGCCCCATAGCCCTGCCCCGCTGCTGGCATCCCCATACCCTGTTCTCATAGGTGATATCCACAGTGGTGACCCTATCCCTGCTCACAGCCACCACCCCTGTGTTCCCAGTGGTGTGTCTGCAGTGGGGCCACGAGGACGGGTGCCCCCCCGGGTAGCATCTGTGGGGCGGCCACGAGTGAGCAGCCGGGCATATGGACGGAATGCCATCCTGGAGAAGTTTGGGGGGTGAGTGGGGCCTGCGGAGGTCAGGGTGCGATTAGGACAGTGGGGAGGCCAGGGGACAATGGGAGGCAGTGGAGGAACATGGTCAGTGGGGTGGCTGGAGGGCATGGGGCGCTGGGGGGAATGGGAAAGCCAAGGGACAATGAGAGATATGGGACAGTGGACAGCTGGGGGCATGGGGCAATGGGGGGACATTGAGAGGGAGATGGGACACTGAGGATAGCGCTGCCCAGTGGTGAGCCCCTAGGGAATATGCACCAATGGGATCACTGACTTGGCTACAGGGCAGCCACAGGCCCAGCCCCACACCTGAAGCGTGTAGGGGCCACGGGCTCAGTGAAGGCCATGCTGCTGGAATGGTGTCGTGCCAGGACACGTGGCTACCAGGTGAGTACTGGGGGACAGGAGGCTGGCAGAGGGCCAGCAGTGTCCTGATCCCTCCCCCTTCCTGCTTATCCACCCACACAGCATGTGGACATCCAGAACTTCTCAGGGAGCTGGAGCAGCGGCCTGGCCTTCTGCGCCCTCATCCACAGCTTCTTCCCCGATGCCTTTGACTATGGCAGCCTGGAGCCCCAGGACCGCCGGCGTAACTTCACCCTGGCCTTCAGCACCGCAGAGTGAGTGTGTTCCTGTCCTCATCCCTATGCCCATGTCCACCTGTGGGGCAGCCCTGGTGATGCCAGTCCTGCAGGGAGCGTGTCGACTGTGCCCAGCTGCTGGAGGTGGAAGACATGCTGCGGCTGACGGTGCCAGACGCCAAGTGCATCTATACCTACGTGCAGGAGCTGTACCGCAGCTTGGTGGCCAAGGGGCTAGTGAAGACCAAGAAGCGCTGAGGCCCTGCCAGCCCCATTCCCCACTTTGTCCCCCAGCCCCTAGGAGTAAAGGTTTGCAGTGCCATGCCGTGGTGCCTCATCTCTTGTGTGGACAGCATCATGCAGAGGGATCACGGGATTGAGGTGGGAGCTTTATGTACAGGACAAGTAGCACTGAGGTGGGGGCTCAGGGCCCGGGGGTGTCAGGGCGCGGCTCGGCATAGCGACGGGTGTGCTCCTCTGCCTGGTGCAGGAAGGCCTCAGGCCTCTTGCTCAGCTCACGGGCCAGCTCAGGGCGCAGCACCCGCTCGGTGCTGGGGTTGTCGAGCAGCAGCAGCAGGTCCTGCAGCACTGTGGGACATGGGAGGCATCAGCAAGGGTGCTTGCTGTGCCCCCCACCCCAGCCCCTAGCACCCACCATGCGTGGCACAGGTGATGGGCTCCCACTTCTCGGGGGAAGTGAGGGGCTGACACACGGTGCCATCGCGGCCCACACCGGGGTGATGGATGCTGGTGAGAAGCTTGACACGAGGAGGCACAAGGGGGTGATGTGGGGAGAAGGCCAGCTCGAAACGAAAGGCACCCGCGTTGTAGGGGGGATTGTTCTGCAGCGGCATTGAGAGTGCTTCAGCCTCCAGCTGCCCTACAGGGGCACACCCCCCCCTCGCTGCCCTGCCCCATGCCCTCCCCCAGAGTGAGTCCCTCCACATCCCTGTCCCACCCTGCACGATGCCTCCTAGGGAAGCCCCCCAAGCTTGCCCCAGCAAGGACTCCCTCCATGTCCCCAGGGCACCCCCCACGACCCCTGGGACCTCCCTGTGCCCATGTACCCTTCCCATCCCCCTTCCCCCATGGACGCCCCATAGCCCCGTGCCCCAGCCCCCTCGTGCCCACAGGCAGCAGCAGTCCCCTCCAGCGCAGCACGTCACGGTCCACCAAGTGCAGGTCGCGGACGCCGCCCCAGCGCCGCACCTCCTCCAGCTCCTGTGGGCGGGCTCTGGTTAGGAGGCGGGGCCTCAGCGAGGACACGCCTCCAGGCTCAGCCCCGGGGCGGGGCAGTCCGTGGTCCCCTCCAATGGGCTGTGTCAACCACCCGGCCACGCCCCCAAACGGCCGGTCTCACCCTCCGCTACACGCCGCCTCGCCGCGCGGTCCCCGTCGGGGAAACGAAAGCGGAACCGCCGCACAGGGTGCTGCGCGCCCCGCTGTTGGCATCCGTTCCCGTCGCACGGCGCTACCCGTGCACGTGCACGCGCCCCCCGCCCCGAGTACTGCCGCCCCCACCGGGTCTCCGCGCCCCGACACGCTCACGATCCCGCTGCCCCGGTCCGGCCCCCCAGGCTGGGTGCCGATAGCGGGGTGTCCCCTCCGCTGACCCCGAGCCCCACGCACCATAGCGAGCCGCCTGCTCATGGTCACCGATGTCTGGGGCCCGGTGCCGCCGCTGCTGGGTGGGACGCCCCGGGGCCGCTCTTTCTGGGAGGGGCGGGGCGAGAGGCTGCGGCCCCTCCCCGAGGGCAGAGCGGGTGGGCGGGGGCAGGTTGGGCGGTGAGAGCCATGGCGATGGGGGGGGCAGGTCCTCCAGCGCGGGGCGGGTCGCAGGGCTGGGCCGTACGGTGCCGGGAGCCGCGCTTCAGCCGGGGGCCCCCGCCAAGCCTGGCCCCCAGGCACCTTCCGGCTGATTTACGGGAAGCCTCTATGGCCTCCCGCCCTCCTTAATCTTTAACCAGGCAGGCCTGGCTCCGGCCAGTTACCCCCTGCGGCCGGCCGGACTCTTGGGGAGCGACTAGACGGGCACCAGGTGGGCCCGGGGTGCTGCCCCTCCATCACACGGGGTGGGGGGGGGTGTCGTGCAGGGAGCACCTGGTGCTGAGGGTGTGTAGTTTGTGGGTGTGGGGAACGGGATGCTGAGTGCCAAGGGGTGTTGGGAGTGAATGGGGGTTACTGGGTGTCCAGCTGATACTTTGACCAATGCTTGCCCACCAGGTTGCTCACCATGAAGCTCTGCCTGCTGCTGGTGTGCCTGGTGGCCACGGTCACAGCCACTGTCACCCCGGTAAGTGTGGCACGGGGACGTGGACTCCCTGCAGCCAGGTGTCCCCTGCCCACCCTCACCGGTGTCCCCCTGCCCAGGTGTCCATGCCGGATACCACTCCTTCCAGAAGGATGAAGCTAATCAGACTGCAGCCAGCACGCATGGTGATCCTACGTCCCACCACAAGCCCATCAGGGGACACAGGGACACCAACCCAGCCTGTGTCCAGTTCCACGTCGGAACCCAGCCTGGATGCTGTGTTGGAGGCCTTGCAGCCTCTGGGCCCTGCGGAATTTGTGGCAGCACCCGAGGAGCCTGACACTGCTGCCGGCGGGAGCACAACCACATCTGAGCCTGGGACCACCACGGGTCCCCCCAGCAGCCCTCCAGGCGCAGTCACCCCACCGTGCCCTGGGGACGAAGAGCCAAGTGAGACCTGCAGAGCACCAACGAGGGAGCAGAAGGAGGAGGTGGCCAAGGCACTGGGCACCTTTGCCTTATGCTTCTACCAGCACATGGCAGAGTCTGCCAAACCCGACACCAATCTGCTCTTCTCCCCCCTCAACGTGGCCCTAGGGCTGTCACACCTCCTGCTGGGTGAGGGGCTCTCCATGGGGTGCAGCCCATACACCCACAGCCTTCCCGGCTGCCAGGCCCCTCTAAGCCTCACCATTGCCCTCAGGTGCCCGCGGTGAGACCCAGCAGCGCCTGGCTGCCATCCTGGGGTACCGGCCAGGGCTGACCTGCGTGCACGGCGCCCTGCGGCAGCTTGCCAACGTGCCAGGGCTGCTCTCTGCCACAGAGATCTTCCACCACCCAGGTAAGACAGACACTAGCAGGGAGGAACAGTGGGGTGGGCAAGGGGGTGACATCATCCATACTACTATGCAGACCTGCACCTCCGACCCCGCTTCTTGAATGAGTCATGGCAATTCTACAAGGCCAGGCCACGGGAGCTGAGTGGTAACGAGAGCCTGGACTTGCAACGCATCAATGAATGGGTGCACAAGGCCACACGAGGGCTTGTGCCCCATCTTCTGTCTCAGCTGCCTGATGAACCTCGCCTAGTGCTGCTCAGTGCTGTCCACTTCCAGGGTATGGCACAGTTCCCAGGGTGTATCCAGGATCTGCCCTGAGATCCACCTTGGGATCTACCAACCTCCATTTCTCCATCCCCTGGTGGCCCTCAGCCCCACAACATCCCACCCTATGGGCACTGTGTCCCTGCAGCCCGGTGGCAAAAGCCATTCAAGACCAAGCATACGATGCTGTTGCCTTTCATGCGCCATGGGCACCTGCCAGTGGATGTGCTCACCATGACCAGCAAGAAGTACCCTGTGGCATCCTTCACAGACTCCCACCTGCAGGTCCAGGTACTGCATCCCTGTGCTTGTGGAGCATGATGTCACAGCATGATGTCATTGCTGTGGCATGGAAGGGACGTGTCAGGTGGTGATGTCATCCCTGGAGCACTGATGGGAAGCCAGGCTATGGCATCGCTCCCATGGCACTGAATGAGGACGCCAGGCTATGATGTCACACTGCAGGTGGGGCGGCTGGAGCTTAGTGGGGGGCTGAGCTTGGTGGTACTGGTGCCACGGGGACCTCCGGAGGCCCTGGGGGCTGTGGAGCGAGCGCTGGACCCCCCCACCTTCCTGGCACTGCTGCAGAGGGCATCCAACACCCCCACGCGCCCTACTACCGTGGCCCTGCCACGCCTGCACCTCGACCTCGCCATGGATGTGGTGGCCAATGTGCATGACATGGGTAAGGCATCCCCCCATCCCTGCCTGTGCTGGAGTGATGTCACCTACTGCACATAAGTTGACAGATGATGACATCACTCCCTGCAGTAAGTCACCTGCACCTTTCCCCTGCAACTTCAGTGCCCCCAGTGACATCAGTGTCCCCCGTGTTTCCGGTGTTTTCGTATACCTGTGTCCATTGGTTCTCTGGCAGCCCCAGTGGCTCCAGTATCCTGCATGTCCCCTATATCCCTTTGTATCCCCTGCTGTTTGCCGTTCCCCATTTGTTCCTGGTGTCCTTTGGTTTCCCCTTGTTCCCAATGCTCCCACCCCCTGCTGTCTCCATGCCACGGCAATGGCACTGTGTCTGGTTGCTGCAGACTTTGGGCTGTTCCTGGATGCAGAGCTGTGTGGGCTGGCACGGGGCCCAGAGGTGGCAGTGGATGCAGTGCAACACCGGGCTGTGCTGACGCTGGACGAGAAAGGTGTGGAGGCAGCGGGTGCCATGGCCACCTCGGTGGCCCGCACGGCTCTGCAGCTAGAGGCTTTGCAGCCCTTCCTCTTCGTGCTCTGGGATGAAGGCAACGCCATCCCCCTCTTCATGGGACGCCTTAGTGACCCCCAGGCCTGATGCCTGCCCCTTCCTTCACTCCATTTCTTCCCTCCCTCCTTCTCTTGTCCCTATCTGCCTTCTCTTCTTCCTCCTTCTACTTCCCTCTCCCTCTTCCCATTCCTCCCTCCCTGCTTCTCTATATCTTCTCACCCTCTCCTCCCCCCTTCCTTCCCTCTTCACTCCATCTTTCCCTCTTCCAACAACCATTCAGCCACATCTTTTTCTCCTTTCTCCCTCCCTCACCTCTGCCCAAATCCTCCCACACCTCCCAAATCTTCTGCTTCCATTGGGTGCTCCTGGCCCCCCAGCAGCTCCTGTGTCTCTGTTTCCTCCATCAGCTCTTGGTCTGAGGCCCCAATAAAAGCTCTGAGTCACTGACTGGCTCCTGTTGGAGGGGGAACACTATTGCTGCTGGTGTGCCAGCTGCTGTCCCCCTGGCGTTGCCACCTCCCCCTGGCACTCCAAAGTGACACTTGACGCCTTCCTACAAAAATCTTTTATTCCACTAGAAAAGCTGCCCGCAGCCTCTGTGTGCTGGTGACGGGCCCCATGCCCTCACCCCAGCAGGTGGCACAGGCTGGCATGGGGTGCCCTCCCTGGAGAGCAAAGTGGGGAGGGCCCATGTCAGTTGTCCAATGCCAGGTGCCTGCCAGGGTAGGTGCCATTGTGGTGTCCCTCCCATGCTGCTCAATCCCAGCCGTTCTCCTTGACCATGTGCGACATCTCGATGATGAACTTCCCCTCCTTGTACTTCTGGCTGCTCTCGAATGCCTGCTCCTGTGGGGATAGCAGCCTGAGCCCCCTCAGGGCCCAGGTCACAGGACATGTGCTATGGATTTGGGGTCCCAGGGCAACTATTGTGGGTTTGGGGTGCCTGCACAGTGGGCTGCAGCAGGGCTTTGGGTAACCAAGTGGGATTTGCGGTGCCGTGGGCTCAGAGTGCCCATATTATGTCATTGGGATGCCCAGGCCAAGGGATTGGGGTGCCAGTGTGATGCCCAATCCCAGGTTGGGGGTGCCAGGGGCACTCACGTATTTCCAGCCCAGGGTGGTTTTGCAGTTCTCGCAGAAGATGTCAGCCACAGAGTGAAGCCCAGTGAGCAGCAGGCGCTGTTCGGCCGGGCCACAGCCCACATTAACCCTGCACCAGACAGGGTGCTGTGGGCACGTCTGGGGATGTTCCTTCAACCTTCTCCAGGACAAGTGATAGTGATGATAGCTCACCCCACTCCCCCCTCCCAGCATCCCATCCCCCACCGCAGTACTCACACCGAGTTGAACAGGTAGGCACGGCCATGGCTGCCCTGGAAGGACTGCAGGGACACAGCGTGACTCAACCCAGCGTCCTCTGTGCCTCCCTTACTCCCCTCCTCCATCACCACCATGCCATCGCAGGGAAAGACTTTCTGTCATGGGGACACTGTGGGGAGTATGGGCACAGGGGGATACCTGGCACTCTCAGGTCACCATGGAGGTGACACTGCAGAGGGGATGCTGTGGAGGAGGAGACAGCATGGGGGGACAGCATAGAGGGGACAACGCAGAAAGGACAGACACAACTACCCTGGGGACACCCTGGGGAGACCCTCACTATTTCCCAGGGACACTGCAGAGGGGAAGATGGCTACACCAGGGCCCCGGGGAGGTGACGCGGGCGCAGAGGGGGCACCTTGGAGATGAGCTCCTCGTGCCTGGCCAGGTGTGCACGGCAGTGTACGCAGCTGTAGGTGCGGTGGGAGCGCGGTAGGTAGCTGTGAAAGGTCCGGGGAGGCAGACGAGTGGTGGCAGGGACCCGGTGGCGGCGGGCGGGGAGAACGGCCGGTGGCAGGGCCCCGGGGGGCCGCGGGGGTGCGGGGGGCATGGTGCAGCCCCCGCACAGCCGCTCGCAGGGGAAGAAGCAGCGCAGCAGCGTGCTGAGAGCCGTTGTCCCTCCGGGTCGGGGGGTGGAGCGCGGCTGCCCAAGGGTCCCCCGGACGAGAAGCGGGCGGTAAGGGGGGGGCGGCCTGCGATTGGTTAAGCGGGATGGGGTGAGGAGGGGGCAGCGCCGTGCCTCCCGGCACCGCCGTAGTTCCCCCCCCCTTCCCCCCGCGTCCCTCCGCTCACCGCCTGCCGTTGTCCCCGCTGCCGCTGTCCCCGGTGCCGGTGCCGGTGCGGGGCGGGGGCACCAGGCGGCCGCGGAGGGGGTGGGGGGGAAGGGAGGGGAGCGCCGCACGCCCGGGGACTGCATCACGGCGCCGTGACTCATTGCTCGACGTCACCGCCCGCACCCCGCGCCGAGACGTCACCGCCCGGCAGCACTACGTCACCGCTGCCCCCGGCACCGAGCTGCGGGAGCTCTACCGGCTCCCGCGCGCTGCCGAGGGACCCCGGGGCGGCTGCAGCGAGGCCGGGGCGGGAGGGGAGCGCAGCTCGCGGCGTGCCCGTGGCACGTAGCGGGGCCGGGGGCAGTGAAAGGGGGAGAGGCTATGGCCACGGTGCCCCAGTAGGTGCTGTGCAGATGAGACGCGGACGAACACCGGGAAGCACGGGGAGCGGCACGCCGCAGCAGGCCCCGACTGCATCTCCCAGCAGGCCCCGCGCGGCTGCCACGGCAACGCCCCACGCGCTCCCGCTGATGGAGCGGGCGTGAGGGCCGCGCTCTGACCTCACCTCCGGCGCTTGCCTGACGTTACTTCCGTCGCGCTCCGTGACGTAACGGAAACGCGACAGCCCTGCCAGAGTCCCGGTAGGCTCGCGGAACAGCTGTAGGTGCTGTCAGGTACTGACGGTTGCCAGGCCCCGGGCTCAGGGTCCAGCCCTACCGCGGTGGGCGGTAGGATCGGGCCGGGCCCGCGATGGCGGACGATGGCGGTGATGAGAAGAAGCAGGTGGCGAAGTTCGAGCTGGAGCGGGAGACAGAGCTGCGTTTCGAAGTGGAGGCCTCGCAGACGGTGCAGATGGAGCTGCTCACCGGCATGGCTGAGGTGTTTGGCACCGAGCTGACCCGCAACAAGAAGTTCACCTTTGACGCTGGTGCAAAGGTGGCCGTCTTCACCTGGCACGGCTGCACCGTGCAGCTCAGTGGGCGCACCGAGGTGGCATACGTCTCCAAGGACACGCCCATGCTGCTCTACCTCAACACTCACACGGCCCTGGAGCAGATGCGGAGGCAGGCAGAGCGCGAGGACGAGCGGGGGCCCCGTGTCATGGTGGTGGGCCCCACCGATGTGGGCAAGTCGACTGTGTGCCGCCTGCTGCTGAATTATGCTGTACGCCTGGGGCGCCGGCCCACCTTTGTGGAGCTGGACGTGGGGCAGGGCTCCGTCTCCATCCCTGGCACCATGGGTGCCCTCTACATCGAGCGGCCGGCTGATGTAGAGGAAGGCTTCTCCCTGCAAGCTCCGCTGGTCTACCACTTTGGCTCCACCACACCTGGCACAAACATCAAGCTTTACAACAAGGTGAGTGCATGGAGTCCCTATCATCTTGTGGTTGGCCCTGCTTGGAGCAGGGTGGAGCCTCCAAGGAGTCCTGCCTGCCCCTGTGAGTTAGGGATTGCCCATCTAGTCCTATTGTTCTATAAAACCATGGTGCAATACTGAGTTAAGCACTGAGGTCCAACAAAAACATGAAGGGTAAAAAGCTGGCCCAAATGCCTCGTGTCCTCTGCCTGCAGTTTGGTGATGGCTAGAAGCCCCTTTTTTGGCTGAAGGTTGCTCTCAGCCCCATGCTTGTCCTTGTCCTGTCTGTGGGACATGGGGGAGTAGCTCTGCTGATGTGGTCAAGCAGTCATTCAGTGCTGAAGCTGTCCATAAAGCACGTTAAATGCCCTCATTTAACGTGCTTTATGGACAGCTTCAGCACTGAATGTGGCTGCTGCCCCTTTATGACTATCACTGAGTTGGGCAAAGAAGGATTTCAGCTTAAGTGGCTTCCCATGGCCCAGGCATTGCCTCTGCCTCTTAGCACTAAATAAACCTGCTGAGTGAGTTAGGAGCATTGCCTGTCATTGGACAGGTCCTCATCACATGGCCTCCAGCTGTGTTGATGTCTTTTGGGAACAGAAACATCCCTCTCAACCCCATGTACTTTATCCTCATGTCCCAATATCTGCCTGCAGATCACATCCCGCCTGGCTGATGTCTTCAACCAGCGATGTGAAGTGAACCGCCGTGCATCGGTCAGTGGCTGCGTCATCAACACATGCGGCTGGGTGAAGGGCTCGGGCTACCAGGCTCTGGTGCATGCTGCCTCAGCTTTTGAGGTAGATGTGGTGGTGGTGCTGGACCAGGAGCGGCTCTACAACGAGCTTAAGAGGGACCTGCCCCACTTTGTGCGCACTGTTTTGCTCCCCAAATCTGGAGGGGTGGTGGAGCGCTCCAAGGACTTCCGGCGGGAGTGCCGAGATGACCGCATCAGGGAATATTTCTATGGCTTCCGGGGCTGCTTCTACCCCCACGCCTTTGACGTCAAATTCTCTGATGTTAAGATCTACAAGGTAGGGGCTCCCACCATCCCTGACTCCTGCCTGCCACTGGGCATGTCGCAGGAGGACAACCAGTTGAAGCTGGTGCCGGTGACGCCAGGGCGGGACATGGTGCACCACCTGCTGAGCGTCAGCATGGCCGACAGCCCCGATGACAACATCTCAGAGACCAGCGTGGCTGGCTTCATTGTGGTCACTGGGGTAGACCTGGAACGCCAGGTGTTCACTGTGCTCTCGCCTGCCCCTCGCCCACTGCCAAAGAACTTCCTTCTCATCATGGACATCCGCTTCATGGACCTGAAGTAGCTCCAGCAGGGATGGGGCAGGGAGTCCTGGGCAGAGGGGACACATGGGGATGTCCATGCGTGTAGCCCAGCGCTTGCTTTGCCCAGCGGCTTTCAGGCCCTGGGTTTGTGCCCTTGTGCCAGCGGCACAGGAGGCTGCCTCTCGTTTTTATCTTTTTGTAAAGTTTGTTATTAAATCTCACTGCCCTTTGGCTCCGTGGTGCTTCCTGCTTTTTGTCTCGGCTGCAGGATGGAGGGATTGGCCCCGGGTGCTGACCACCCACCCCCGTGGATGCTGCACAGGAACCCCAGGCCTATCACAGGAAGACCATCGGTCAAAGCGAAGCAGGGCGGAAGACGCTCCTTTTCCTCCGCTCCGCGGACACGCACAGGCTGGGCTGGGCTCCTGTCTCGTCCCACGGGTTCGCCCCGCAGCACACAGCGCTCAGAGCCCCTCCGGGCGCAGGAAGCGCCGCGCATGCGGTCTGCGGTGCACGTGCGCCCACTCCCCTGATGACGCATGCGCACGGCCACTTCCCGTTTCACGCATGCGCGCCGCACCCTTCCTCGCTCCTTCCAGGCTGTTCCCCAGACGGCGACCAATGAGGAGCGGCGGGCGGGACGCGCGGCCGACGGGGCGGGGCGCGCAGGCGCAACTCTGACGTCGTGCCCAGCCGCCGAGCGCCGCCGCCGCTTCGTGCCCGGCAGCGTTGGGCGCCGCCCGGGCCGCGCCGTAGCGTGCCGGTGAGTACCGCGGGGCCTCCCCGCTCCCTCTCCCGTCGCGCCCGCCTCCTCCCAGGGCTGCTGGCCCTTCCCCGCCCCCGGTAGCCGTAGGGCCCCGGAGCCCCGGCTGCGTTCTGCCCCGGGACCGCCTCCGAGCCCCCGCCCGCCGCCTGGCAGCGCGGCCTCTCCGCGGCGCCCGGAGCCCCGCCGGCCCGCGGCCTCCGCCCCGCCGGTGGTGCGGCATGGCGAGGCGAGGCGGGAGCCGCTTCCTCCTGGGCCCGGGCGCAGCGCCGATCCGGCTCCGCACGGCGTCTCCGTGAGTTCGCCGCGTCCTTCCGTGCCCGCGGGGCCGCGGAGCGATAGCACGGCCGGGGGCATCCGGTTCCACCCCCTTCATAGGCAGGGACGCTCGGCAGCAGCCCGGTGAGACTGCCCGGGGCCCATCCGGCCCGGCCTGGGGCGCCTCCAGGGATGGGGCACCCACAGCTCTCTGGGCAGCTGTGCCGGTGCATCACTGCCCTGTGAGTAAAGATTTTCCTCCTTATACTTAATTCAGAGCCCTCCTCTTTTAGTTTAAAACTATTACCGTTCATTCACTCTCTGTCCTTGTGAAAGCTCCTCCCCAGCTTTCCCGTAGCCTTTTTGTGTGCTGGAAAGCCACGGCGAGGTCCCCCAGAGCCTTCTCTTCTCCAGGCTGACTGAGCCCATCTCCTCGTAGCTTTCAGCATCCGTGAGGCTTTCCCTCTGACAGCCCCATGTCCTTCTGGTGCTGGGAGCCCAGAGCTGCTTTGGAGGGTTGGATGGTGCTGCTGGGGAATTTGGGCAGGCACGGAGGCTGGACGGTGGGATAACAGAATGCAGTCATGCTCCTGAGTGCTGTGAGGGTGGGCAGGGTTTGTGTTTGAGGAGTGGACACCACCACAGCAGCAGCCTGCAGCACAGAGCCTTCCTGCAGGCTCTCATCTGGAGCTGGGGCTCTCCTTGTGCTGACTGTACTTCTGAGAACATCTCGTCAACTTCAGTTTTTAAAAGTCTGTGTCAGAGTTTGGTTCTTGTGGCCTGTCAGTGAGCAGAAGTTGAAGGCTGCTCTCTAGGTGCAAAGCCCCGGCCCGTGTGCTGCTGCCTTATCCAGAGTGAAATTCCTCCTCGAAACACACTTCCACACAACGTTCTCCGGTGTTGGTGATGTAATGGGCTGTGCTGGCAGGTGTTCAGCCTGGCTACTGCTAAGCAGCTCCAAATTATCAATGTGAAATGTGTTAATCCCAAGTTATTGCAGCTGAGGAT